CAGATGCCGCGGCCGCGCTGGCGGCGCTCGAGTAGACGTTGACGCTGACGGCCCTGGACACGGCGAGGCTGGCGTCTAGTCTCTCTTCTAGGTCCTGCGCGACGCCGAGGGCGGCCTGGACTTGACGGAGCTCGGCTCTCCGGACGGCCTGTCGAGGCGCGGCGGGGTGCGTCCTAAAAAAAACGGGACAACTGCAATATAGATGTACAACGCACGAACCACGTGGCTTCGACGCAGGAGCGGACCGCCCGGTGGTCGACTTGAGACCCCCGGCACTGCCACACCCCGCTACAATCTACCGTAGGTTCTCACCAGCCTGCGTGACAACCTGTTCTACGTCTACATCGGGTGGGAAGGAGTAACGTTGGAAGATGAGTTAACGCTAACGGCTCCCACTCGAAGCGACGCATACACGACTCTTCCGACGGTTGTCACTCTTGAAAAAAATCTGGCGCCCTCACCCTGGGGACCTTAGGGCTCTGGCTTCCGTCTACCCTCGAGGAGGTGGACGCCTGCTTCTGAAGTTCTTCCATGCGTGCCCTGGCACAGGGTAGGTTTTGATAAGAGGGTGGACGAGCGTGGTTACACGTACGACTAGCGCGGGAACAGCAGTGAGGCGAAAAGTGATTGCAAAAAAAAACGGCCTTAACTGTCTTGATATTCATTGTCACGGGCTAAACCAAAAACGCGATATCGGGGTATTGGTCACGTCCTCTTCATGGGGTATTCTGAATCTCGTTCGCTTCACAAGCGGCACTTAAAATGTTTGCCAGCATGCCGCGTTTTTGGTGAATTTGTTTGACACCTCTCTTTTTATTTTCACTCGCCGCAAAATACGTCACACGGTTGGACGTCGCTGTGCCTCGTAGCTCCTAACCACGTCCTGAACCCCACCCGCCCACCAAGGAACCAGGCCAGCCTAACTAACCCAACCACGCATCGGGGGCGCACGAGCTAGCATGGTTCAACTTCGACTTCCATCCGCACCCGCCATCCAACGGTGCGAACGGCTTTCGCCTCTCTCCCATCGCCATCTACTTCTAGGTCTTGTAAACCCCCAACTCCAGGCAACACACAACCACCCCATTTTTTTCGGCCCTGTGGTCGGATCAATATTTTCGTTCCATGTTTTTTAATATACCTTTTTTCGGGTAAGTTAGCCTGTGACCACAGGGTCAAGTGTTAGATCAGTACGGACAGATGACGGTACTGGGTAGAGAGATTGGAGAGGGTTTTAACGTGAAGACCATAACAACAAAAAACCAATCGACTATGAGCCCTAAAGCCACCCGAGCACCTCACTACATACCAGGTCGGATCAACACACAACGTAACAACTACCACTGGTACGTGAAACCTGTGACACACCAAGCTACATCGCACCTGAGCGTCTCGAGCTCGATCTCTAACTCCACACGCCGGGACGCCTCTTCCTTGACCTTGGCCTTGGCTCCCTCCACCTCCGCCTCCAGGTTTTCCAGCTCACGCCGAAGCGATGCGATAACCTGTTGCCAATGATCGAACGGGGGGAGGGGGAGTATGATCGAAAGGCGTCATAGTTACTGGGGGGCAAGAGCCAGACACCAATTATTTCGGTCCATTGTCATCTTGCTTTCATTGTCACGACGCGCAAGTCGGCCATAGACACGTCTCTAATACGAAACACTTTTCACTCTCATAACCACCACCGCCAACAGCGACAACAGAAACGTTTCCGAATCCTCGGCCACGTTGGTGCGTGGGAGGTACGGGCCGTCGCCCTTCTGCGATATACATCCGCACGCGGAAGCCCGACACGGTGTTCAGTTGGCCCAGGACCGCCGCATTCCCCCGCACCCCATCCCGCATCAACCAATGCATCTCCACGACGCAGTCGTTGACGCGGGATGGTGTGCGCGGGGGAATGCGGCGACCCTGAACCAACTCTACGCCATGTCGGGCTTCCGCGTGCGGATGTACTATCGCACGGGGCGATGATACGCACTTCCCCCACACCGACGTCGCCGAGCATTTGCAGACGTAAGTCATTCGTTGCCCCAGGCGCTTGATATTGATATTAAGACACAGCAGGCGCCAGGAACAAAAAAGGGGGATTTCCTTCGGTGTGTCCGTACCCCCGTGAACGTTGTTTGTACATGAGCCCCCTGACATTTTTTGTCTGTCTGGGGCGCCGGTTGCAATTTGGTTGGTTTCGTTTTTCGGGCCACAACAACAAGTGCTGCAACTTCAATGGAACGGATGCAGCACCAAACCTCACGACAACAAAACGAGGCTTGTAAGGCCTGCATAGGACTCCATCCAAGAAGAGTCCAAACGGACAATAAGCAGGTGAAAAGTGTAGAATATTGTAGTACAGAGTTACACCACTGTGGCTCAGGTGGTTTAGTAGGCAACCTCGCAACGGTCTGACGTTTGGGCGTGGAATCGATTCTCGGTGCAGTCTGGGACGTACAATATTCTCACAGCATGCCCAAACGAACGTGGAAAGCGATTACTTCGTGTGTGCGCAAACATTCGGCCATCACAGTCGACGAGGGAACGGAACGGGTGAGTCCTTGTCGCGATATCAAGTCAAGGCAAGCAAACGGCGGAGAACACAACTCCTGCGTGACCCTGGTTGGGGCGTCCAGAAATCGTACCGAAGGTGTCAAGGACAGACATCCAGAATAACCGGCATTGCCACACACAACAAATAAAAAGGCAGAAAAACACAGGTCTATCGCAATCGCACGAAGAACCTCAAGACCATCAACATCAACATGACAATTACAACGCCGGCAGGTTCGGGCGGGTCGGGGATGGGGGCGCGCGCGCGCGGGGGGGGTGGGGGCGTACGGCGGGGGGGGCGGGGGGCGGTATTGGAGGTGGAGCCTCACTCGACTTGCGTTATCCCCAACAGCGTATTCGCGAACAGCGCAACGGGCGTCCCGCAGCAGCGCTCGCGACTCGTGGTCCACCGCCATCGCGTCGGGCCGTTGGCCGTTCTTGTCCTGGAAAAACAAATGTTTCGAGACGGGAGAGCCCAGAGGGCGTGCGGAGTCACCAGGGCGGGGGGGGTCGGGGAGGAATTGTCAGTGCTTCGTGCTTCGCATCGGACCCAAAACCTTGGAGGGTCCTAACAGCAGCCATGATGACACACACACACACAACGCTGGCATGGTGCTTGAGCGGAAACACTAGCCTCACCTCCCACCCGCCCCCTCTCAAGCCACGGGGCTGGGGTTCCCCAACGTTGCCTTCCAACAGCCTTCGTTCAACCTACAGAAGTCTCTTGTCGCTCTACCTTTGCTTCTGGATCAGCCCCGAAATCCAGTAGGAGCTTGGTTATCCCAACATAGCCGCCGGCGTAGTGGAGAGGGCAGCGGTGTGAGTGATCGCGAGCGGCTACAGCGGCTCCGACCCCCAGCAACACCTGACAGACCGCCAGCTTTTGGAGTTGTGTTTTTTCCCCGGTAGCGGGAAGGGCCGGTAATTGGTACAGCACCAGCACGCGGAGATGCGGGGTTTTTGACGCCGCCACCACGAGGAAAAGAGCGAGCGAGACCAACAGGGAGAGAGGCAGAGAGAGAGAGAGAGAGAGAGAGAGAGAGAGAGAGAGAGAGAGAGAGAGAGAGAGGGAGAAAAGGGTACACCGAATCATGCACCGTACGCATCACGCATGTGCCCCACCACAACAACCGACGCGCCTGGTTGACCTCCGAGCGAGAAGCCTGCCAAAGGCCAAAAAACGACATCATGGGCGACAACATTGGCACACCTGGCCGCACCCAGCCGCTTCGTGCAGAGCGGTGAGACCACCCCTCCCGGGGATGTTTACCGCCGCTCCCCGCTCCAGCAGCAGCTTGACGACGCCGAGGTGCCCTTTGGCAGCCGCTCGGGTCAGCGGGGTGCTATGCAGACAGCCCGAAACGGCAAGTAGCACGAATCACACGCACGAAAACACGTACAGGGGTTTAGCTTAGCGGTCATACGCTTGTGAGGTGCCGAAAGCACCAAAAACCTGGGAACGATCGCACGTCCAAAATTGGAAAAATCCGTCAGTGTTGTCTGCCAGCCGCCGCTCTTAACACTGCAGGACAGCGGTGGCCGGCAGACATGGTGCAGCAAGAGGTGGGCGCCTGATCGGCCGGTCAGAGACCATCGGCAACGTTGTTACCGCGGAGGTTTCCAACACGGCATCAGCAAGACAGGAAGGACTGCTGTGGCACTCTTCCGTTGCGATCGACCCTCTCGAGTGAAGAACAGCACAGCACAACGGCAGCACGCGTGTCATTTGATCGATCCTGTTTCCGACGCCTCAAGCGTTCCCACACCTCGCTCCGTTCTTGCTCTTGGTGTTGACGTCGCCGCCAGCATCGAGAAAAGCCAGGACGGCCGCCTCGTCCCCCTCCGCTGCTGCTTTGAGAGCGATGTGGGACTGGACCGACGGACATTCGGGGAAAGGGGGGGGACGCAAAGGGGAGGGTGGTTAGATCATGCCTGGTGCTATCTCTCTGGCCTTGACGTCTACGGTGACCCCCATGACTGTAGCCCACAGCCAGTCGGGTGCGACACCTTCTCGCTTTTTTCTTGTGCGTGCCTTCGAACGGGGTCACATGGGTGGGCCCATTGCAGTATAGAGCATCAGCTCACCACGGGCAGAGGTGCGCGCGCGCGGGGGGGGGGGGGGTCCGTGCCCTTTTACAGAGGGTGGCAAAGAGTAGGAAGAAAAGGATACACGTGCCGGACGGGGTAACATGAAAGTTCATAACTCTGGAGGCGGTTGAGATGTACTTCGCTCCGCCTCACCTCCGTCTTGGTTCGAGCCAAGCAACGCACGACAACTGCTGTACCCGTCTCTCTCTCACACACGCACTTTGACTAAGAAAGCGTTCGTGTTTGTCATCCCGCCAAAAGACTGAATTCTTTATATCGGTCAGCCGGCTATGTAGCGCGGTCGATGCAAGTTAACAAAAACTCACACACGTACATACACATCCGGTTGACCCCCCGCGCCCAGGCAGAGGCGAAAAAAGGAAAAACACACACACATTGGTTGCAACCAACACCCAGCCCAGAGGGACAAGAAGAACAACACACGGTACCCTCTCTCACCGATCCGTTCAGAGCGCCCGGCGAGCTGCTGCCGACGGAAAACCCACTCCCGACCGAGAGCCTGCTCCCCGACCCCCTGCTTCCCCCGCCCAGGGAGCCTCGTCTCCGTGCCGACTCGGTGGCGAAGGCCGACAACACCGCGGAGCCCCCCCCCCTAGAAGAGGACCACGACGCGTCGCTCCCCCCCGTTTTGCCCGCCGAGGAGGAGGCCGACGGGGAGCGGCCGAGCGCCCGCGAGGACTGATCGTGGGGGGTTCGAAGGAAAGATCTCGGTGTCACGGCGGCGGCGGCGGCGGCGGCGGCGGCAGCGGGGGAAGCAACCGCAGCAGTAGCACCAGCGGCAGCGGCCGGGCTGGCTCTATCTTCGGTCCGCCTCGCCGCGGTCGGCAAGGGCGAAGAGGCGGAGGAGGCCGAGGAGCTGGACTCTCCGCCGGAGCTGTAGCTGCCCGATGATCGCTGGAGCGTTCTAGGGAGGGGGGCATAGTAGCGCGGATGCAGAACGCGGGGGGCGGCAAGGGGCGGGGGGTTCCCACAGGATAAACCTGCTGCTTAGTCATGAAACAAGCAAACGCGTCATCCCGTCATCACATGCCGACACTACGTAAAGAGGAAAGGAGGAAGTGTCATGAGCTCGAGGTCTTTCTTATGCAGTCTGGGCGACGACAAGTATTGCACATGTATGTACACAGCGGACCAAAAAAAAAAAAAAACTCTTCCTATTCTAACACAACGTGCAGCGCGACCTCGCAGCCGTTTCCAGTTTTGAACAGCCTACCTTGCGCCAAACTGAACCGTTGGAGTCGCAAGCCAGCCGGCATCGTATACTGCAGTATTCGTGAATAACATCTATTGCCTGTGAGCCTGAAACTTGATCGATATTTGAACCCCATGTGCAAGCGCACCTGCATGCGTAGACCAATTTCAAACGGGTTCAGCAGTATCATCGCACACACAGCAGCGACGAGGTTTGGAATTCAAAAATTGGTTCAGCCGCGACATCATCTCTCTCGTATATACGGTTATCTATACGTGAGAGCATCAGAAGAACTGATCGCTTCAGAGTAATTCCAGCGAATCAAGCAACAAACCCTTGTTGTTGTCTTCATTGCAAGCGCCATGGCTGGGCTCATACGTTCATACAGAAGTTACCTGCCGCGCCCAGAGTTCCCCGCCGCCCCTGGTCGGGGTTCTCCTGCAGAAGCTCCGCCTTGGAGGGTGGCAAATAGATCGTCCGGTATACCTGATGGTCTCTTCATGGTGCAACCAGAAGGTGCGGGGAGTGCCGGGGCTTCAACGTGTGACAGAATCTTTGCGGTGACCCCTTAGAAGGGAGCCATGCCGCATGCACGGAGTGAGGCGTGAGGGGGGAGGGGGGCAGAACTCTTCTTGCAGTGCCTGCTCTCATGGAGTTGCAAAACATTGACAGGCGTTTTTCTTTGCCCCCCACGGAAATTCCCGTCTGTTGGCCCCCAGCGCAAATGCTCATGTTTCACTGCTGTCATGTGGTTACGATGTGGCACCACAGGTACACGTAGTGACCCTACTTTCGATGTGGCTGTTGCATCTGAACGGATCATCGTGTCCCAGGTGGCTGCGGAGAAAGGGCGCTGTCTGTGAATTGAATGCAGGCCTGATCGAAAGGCAACCAACCAAGAGCTTGGCTCAACACTTTAGCTACTACTATTACTCAACAAAGCGGAGACCCCGCTCTACATAATAATAATTGAATGAAGTAGATGGCGACGTCGTCGGTGGGCGTTGATTGCCGAGCGTGCCGGCTAGGCAGTAAGCCTCCTTGGTAGAGAACACTCAACAGGTCAAGGCTCTCGTTGCCAGCTGCCATTATTCTTGGTGTGCACGGAGGCACCCCCGCGACGGCGTGTTCTTCTGCAGCTTGCATCAAGCAAGAACAGGAGAGTGTTGCTGGCGAGACTACGGAGGTGCAAAGATGGCGAAACAAAATTCACTCCGCCCCCAGTCACGGATGAAGGGTGGTGTTTCGTATATCTATGGAAATAGCTCGGTCGCGCGAAGCTACTAAACTAGACTGCAAGATATGTACCTCGTTACATAGGGAGGGTCATTTCGCGGGGAGAGAAAAGGCTGACGAAAACAACCAACCAAGGAAGGAACTCAAAACTGAGGGATGGTCTAGTCTGCGTGTGGCGGTTCTACATAATTTTTTTGTGGTGCTCACGTCCCCAACTAACTGCTGTCCCCCGCCGTCTTTCTTTTTCACGCACGTTGGCACCTGCGTCATCGAGCTGGTGAGTTAGCTATGTAGTTACAACTCATCATCCATTCACATGGCACGACGATGAGAGACGGTTTCTTGGCATGACACTCTGGCGCGATACGCGTCTTTTTATCTCGGAAGCACGTAATAAGCCAGGTACATGATGAGCGTTGGCTGCCCTGCTGTGCTACACCAAAACGAACAACGGCGTTGCTGCTGCATACGCATAAATATGCCTTGTAGATAATATGACCTTCCGTTATTACACGACAAAATTTCATGTCGGTCGCAGCTACATCGCCGCTGAGCTACTACTACTCATGTACTCCAAAAAGCGAGTAATGACGGCCCTACGCGCTACGTGTGGAAGAAAAATCTTCGGTTCCCACTTCCGAGGAGACAACAACTACAAGGGTGGATGGTACCTCCCGCCCCCTCAAAACCCTCGTAGCCCCAATAGCTCTGCATACGTGTCGCTATGAGTACCGCATGGCCGCTAACCAACCTCCAACACTCCTTCCTCCTCCTTCTTTCCCTCCGACCCCCCCAGCCCCTCTCCAGACATGCCGAAAGAAGCAAATACAACATTCTATGCCGTCATCAAGGTGCAACGGCCTCTCCCAATCAGGAAGTCTATCCTAACGCATGGTTTCGACTTTGCGAGTGTGACAACAACCCGGGGAGTGCCCTTGCATACTTCATGTGCCCTTCACACTCCACACACGCGCCGTCAGCTAGACACGGGTAAAAGTATTTGATCGCCCCACAGCAACCTAGCCTTGGGATCAGAGTACACCTGCCCTCCTCTAACATGAAGAACTAAGCAATTAAGCAATATACTACTCTACAGAGGAATGTGAACCAGGAGAGGCCCGGATTGTCGATGACAAACCGGAGCCGTTCTACACTACAACCTACGTAAGCATGCGGTACTCGATAGCTACAGCAGTTAGAGCAAGCGACATCGCCTTGCCTTACACTATATAGAAGTTTTGCTTGCTCAATCTCTAACGGCCCCCCAAGCACAGACTACATGCAGGGAAAAGAAAACGAGGGTGTACGAACGAATTATGCTTCTTCTGCTTGGCAATACTAAATTGCTTGAGGGCTAGCGAACAATATTGAACACACCGCACAGGCTATGCGCCAGAGCAACACAGCGCACGCACCCATCTTGTAGTGATGGCGTCATGAGGATTGAACGCAACGCGGAGTACACCCAATCTTGGTTACCCGGTATCGTTTCAGCTACGACCTCCGACCCGCTCTTCCAGCTCCTCGTAGTCGAGCTCTACCCGGGGTTACCTCCCCATCTTGTGCTCTTGGATGGAAGCACCTTCGACGTCCGTGCCGGCCGCTCCGGGGGGGAAGGCCTTCACCACCCTGCTGTTTGACAGGCTGTCGCCGCCGGAGCTGTGTCGAAAGAAAACAGGGGGTGGGGGGTGCTCATATGTTTTGCATGCCTTGGCGGACAGACCATTGACCATGCATCCTCGAGAGGACGGAGCTTTGTTCCCACAGGACCGATCACCAATGACCAATCGATCCTTCCTACTTTGCCAAAGATGGCTCAATTATGTTTTCTAAAGGCATCTATCCTATCGATATCACTTCCCGCCCTTTCAACTCGCTTCCTATGCCCCAGTACAGCTACCGTCTTCTCTCGCCTATTCAATGCTTCAAATATCTCACTGTATTTTCCGCCTTTTCCCAGCTCAGTCATGTACACTTCCCTCTCCTTGTACAACGGACATCCTGGAACTACATGAAGTCGATCTTCGCACTCGGAGCGGCATTCATATTTGAACTTGTCGTCTTCATCGTCTACCTTCCTAAATCTATAATACGGAGGGGGTGGTCGTGACAATAATACACTCCGTTTATGAGTCCCTCGGCTATTAGGTGGGCTATTGATCCAGAGAAGAGGCGAAGACGTACACGTATACACACCTCCATGCATCATTGCGCGGGTGGCCAACACAACGCTGTTCTACCCCGCGGTGGCTATGCTCCGCGGCTGCCTTCCATGCAGTACGAATCCGTGAATACACTGGATGGATATGAAAGGACGTGCGGTATCTGAAGCAGCAGTTATGCATTTTTGAACACTCACGGCATGGTCATTCCGCCGTGCTTGGAGTCGTCCTGCCATGGCAACCAATGTCGACAGGTCGGGGCGTATCGCGTGGTAGCGCCATCACATCGAAGCCATCGCCGGGCCCAGAGAGAGAGAGAAAGAAAGAAGAGAGAGAGAGAGAACGGATGTCATATCGGAGGAGGTGAGATGATCACAAAATAAACGAACGCCGCTGCGACAAAATAAGGACGACTTAACATCATGGTCCTCACAAAACTGCAGGGCCGAGAAATACGGCGAAAACGGACACACTGTGCGGGGCATGAGTACGTACGCGGATTGCAAGCAGCAAGGTCTTGTGCATTAAGCTGACTGTGTATCATCGTGACCTCTAGACTACATACTACATCGACAACCACGGTAGACGAGACGCGCGCTCATGACTCTTCGTCGTGTCGGTCCAATCATGCCCGACATGCTTCAATACTATTCGCACGCCACCCTTAAAATCAAAGTGCATCTATCAACAGATGCCCTACACACTCGACAGATCTCGAGAAGAAAAAACGATTGTCAAGGATATTTTATACGGGCGACGGCATTTTGCTCCTCACCATGCCGGCGTCTTCGATCGCCTTAGAGACACGCAGGCCGACGGTGTATTTGGCGAACGTGAACCTGTGACAAATCAAGTCCAAAAGAGGTCACGACGAGCAAAGGTGCAGGGCAACAAGTACAAAACAACGCGTGGGGCAGGGGCGCGCGGGGGGAATCGGTGTCCCGGGTGCAGGTAGCGGAACAGCCTGTCCTCCTGGCGAGTGCTTCAAATAATATTTGCAATCGACTAAAGCAATTTTCGAGACAAGAAGTGTTTGGCATGCAACAAAGTTGTGCTGTTGTCTGTTCGAATCAGGTCTCGGTACGACGGTGGGAGTCTTGTGCGCTGACGAAATGAGATGGAATTTCATTTGTGGCTGGTACACATTAGCAAACACACACGAAACCTGCTCAACAGGTAACAACTGCAAGCAGCGTTTCGGAAAAGGTCATAAAAGTTCTGCCCACCCATCCGTACAAACGCGAGTGAGGCTACTTCTAGACGAGAAGAGTATCCGTGAGAGCAGCAGGGGCAACTGCTGGTTGAAGCACCCGACCTCTTGGAGGCCGACGTCCGCATATTCAGTATCGAAACCTTCGACAATGACACGTGCTCTCGAGAACAACAAGTTCAGCACGCAGACGACTACGATGCTTAGGACAAGACAAGGCCTTGCTTGCGCTTGGCGAGACTAAATACGTTTAGTTTTTGAAGTGACCGGACCAGCCTCAAGTGGTGCACCGCTTGGACATGATGAGATGAACCATAAACACAACTCACATGAGGAAGGAGCAGAATCCGGCCCAGCCCAACACTACGATCACGAAGATCAGATTGGCCGTGAACTGGTTGCCTCCGCACCTGCGACAATCGTTTTTCGGTAGCGGCGGGTTTGCCGTGAGCAGAAAAGCGAGCTCCAAGTCAAGATCGACAGGCGTGCCGCCGCCCTAGCGGTGTGTACCGACTCGGGCCTTGTACTTCCAAGCTCAAAAACACAAGTAACCCGCCATGAACACGACGATCAGAGGAGAGCGGCTGACTTAAAGACACCCGGGAATTCCTTTTGAAAACCTCATCGCGGTCAGCCTTTGTGGTGGTTGCTCCCTCACCCGTAGAAGGCCCCACAGCAGTCCCCCTGCCTTTCGCTGTAGTACGACTCGCCGTAGTTGTCCTTCTCGGCGAGCAGGCCGGCCGCCAGCACGCCCCACATTCCGCAGAACATGTGCACCGGGGACGCATCCACCACATCATCGATCTGACCCCCCCCCCCCCCCCCCAAACAAGCGATCATGGGTGCCCGATGCGGTGTGAGTCGGGAGGAATTGAGAACCAAAAATCGACGAGCTGTCTGTTGTCTTTTGGATATTGACAAACTCACCCGCGATCATAACTTTTCCGCTTTCGGAGTTATGCCGCCAGCCCGCCTTCAAAACGCGCTCTCTATCTAGACCAACCTACCTCGCCCGTCACTACGACTGTTACTAATAGTTGAAAGAACTAAATCGCGATCCCAGGCAAGGAGGTGGAGTGTGAGGTGCGCAGTGAACGAATGCGTCTTGTCGTGAACAACCTCAGCCCCACCATCGAGCGTCTCGAGATGTTTGATCGCCGACACCTGCCCGCTATTCTCGCAACCAGGGTGGGGGGTGTATTCATTCATTCATAGTCGTGCATGCCGTAGTCGTTTGACCATTGACCTCGCATCCCTACAAAGCCGGGACGTAGCACGCCGGGTTCTCACCGGACCAGGCTCTCACCAGGGTGGGGGGGGGGGGGCATTCGAATCCAAACCGCATCATTGTTCCCCCGGGTAGCTCAAAGGAGCCGCGTCTGGTGTCGCTTTGAGTTTCACAAATACCGATACGCGGGGCAGAAACAACGCTGCTACTGTAGCACCTCCGCATCTGTTGACCGCGATCCTCGTCACTGCAGGCACTGTACCTGGAGCTTGAGGAGAAGGACGCTGGAAGCGTTGTAGACGAAACCCGCCACAAATCCGATCACCACCGCCCCTTCCGGCATCACCACGGAGCACCTGACGCGGCGCCAATTCGATGCAAAAAAGTTGTCTTACTCGAATGTCGTTTCCCACGTACGGTAAGCACAACAATCGGAGTACGACAACGATCGACTAAAAGAGCATCTACTGGTCTTCTGGTAAAGGCTCATGGTTCGTGTGCAAACTGGAAGAAGGTGTAGAAACAGGTGTTGCACTCTATGGGCGACGACACGCCAAATCTACTGAGAGCGTATGGGCACAGCGGTAGGGTTTTGCGCGTTGGAGGAACGGCATGGCTCGCCAGGCTTACCCGGTGGTGACGGTGGCTGATGAATGGCTTCGCTTTCAACGACAGCAGGCCATCGACAAGCCGGGTTTGCTCGGCAGCGTTTTTCGAAGGCATGATTGTCATCATCAGTATGCACATCATACAACGGCGTATACGTTTGCCACCACTGGCGTCGTTCACCGGTCGGAAAAATAGAGGCTATGACCCTCAAGCCTTGAAGGACCTTCTCCCCAACCGCAGTTGTTCGGGGGTGCTGCAACATCAAATCGACCGAACCAAAAACAAGCACGTACTGTCCTATCGCCCGAACGAACCACTGAACACGCTCACCAGGCAGTCGTGACGACGAGTTGAGCACCTCGTTCTGTGTGTGTGTGGGGGGGGGGGGTTGGACAGACCAAAACTCCCAACAATAAAACGGAAGAACGAGAGAGCATTGCAATTCGAAGGGGGAAACGACGTGCCTCATCACGGCGCGGGCGCACTCACCCAGCAGTGATAGCAACGAGCCCGCCGAGAACTCCGTTGTTGGCCGCCGTGATGTCCACATACCCGATTCGGAAGTACGCCACGGTGACGGAGGTGACGCAAGCGACGCCTCCGGCGATGGTCGTGTTCACCCTACATGTAAGGTGAAAACCACCACCGATCAGGTACGCAGGGGGGAGGAGAAGATTAGCTATGTAAGTTACATAGTAAGGCTTGCTCTTTAGGGAAGTGGTCAAGGGTCTCAAGTCGACTCTTGCACGACGTCGATGTCAAGACCGACGGCAAGACTACAATATGCATCTTGGCTTGGAAAAGTGGTCCATAATCCGCCCCTACCTGTGGCACGACAACTAACTGTCACGCTGCGGCACGGCTGATGCCGCTGGAGGCTCGCTAAAACGGTTCATTGGCAGAGATCCAACCCGGAGTGAACCACAAGAGGGTCCCCAAAGCAAGGGACTCACATAGCACGCGCGGCCACCTCTCCCAGGCCGACGATGGCGAGAGTGCTGTAGCGTTGATTATTGGTTCAACGCAGACCGTGTGCCGTGCCCGGGAAGTAGCAGCGGGAGTGAAAGCACATCGTAGTGAGTCCGACAGCGGGCAGACCGTCGTAGAAGCACGATCGTCGCGAGAGCAGGACACCGAATGGTCACCACCGGTATCGGAAGACCGACATATGTACCGTATCGTCGCAGTAAAGCATCGATCACGGCAAACCGCGGGCGTACGAGGGCAAACAAGAGCCATGGGCGGATGCAGGGCAGCGCGACGCAAACGGGTAGGGAAACAAATTCAGTCGTCAGTTGCGTCAATCGGTACGTGCTGGGTCGAGGGGGGTGCGCGGCAGGCAGACAAAACATACGGAATGGAGTGACAGACGGGGTGCAGGACAGTACTGTAGCCATCAATACGTGCCTCCCTGACGATATGCGAGGCACGTGCCGGGAGTAAATACCGCTGTGTTGGGAAACATAGGGATCAAAGGGATATTTTTCACATTTTTGATCCGAGTGGTCCTTAAATTCCCGAACAGGGTGAGTGGTAAGTGAGACGGCATGACTGAGGAACAATGAAAACGTTTGCTCATAGACGAAGGGGGCGCAAAACGCAACAAACCACTCTGAAGCTCGCAAATACAAGCTTCCATTCCCCGTGTTATGTTACCTCACGCCGTTGAAGCCGTACCACCCCATCCAAAGGCACAGCGTCCCGAGAGTCTGACGCAGGTTTATTTATAGGAAGGAGCAGAGACAAGGGATGGCATGACGAGAGAGGGCATGTGGTTATGAATTTGGGTGGATAGAAGCCTTCCTTGCTGCAGAGATAGAACGTGCGTGAGTCCTTGAGTACCTACCGCGGCAGAGAGCCGGCAGTCAGCAATATCAGTTCGGTCTGCAGGTGGGCCGGTGCGATGGACCTCTCTCTTGGACTCGAGAGGAAGTAATACATGATCACAGAAATCATGAATGACATGGGCACTCAATGGGCCCTGCCTCATCGGTTCGAATTTACGAGTTTTCACTACCGCGACGTGAGAAATGGCGTGCGAATAAAACACATCGGGTTGGACCGCAAACAAGCATCGCAAGTAAGAGGTTTCACCAATCGAGAACGTGTCCGGCGTAAGAGGCTCCGCGGAACACAACCCCCTACCATCTACCACACCGTGTCACGTCACTTGCCACAGTCACACCTGGTACACGAAGCTGAGCTGGGGCAGCTCGACGGGGATTCCGTCGATGAAACGGCCGGAGCGGGGTCCGAGGAGGACGGCTCCGACCAAGGCGGCGGTGCCCCCGGTCATGTGCACGACGCCGGAGCCGGCGAAGTCGAGGACGCCGCAGTCCATGAGGAGCTCCGTCTCCCTGTTCCGGCATTTCGTTTATTTTGTATTTGCAAAAAAAAAAGCATGGCATCTCAATATGATTACTAGACCCGTTCGAGACAACGCCCTAATGAAAAGGGGTGTGTTCCAAGTCTTCATTGCCGTTAGTGTTGAAAAAAAGCCTGCTGCAGTTCTTCACAAAAAGGAGGAATCCGCTATAATATGCAACAAGTTTTTTTCGTCTACCAGGCACACATCTCAGACAATCATCAAACCGCAACAATGACAGTTGTGCCAATGAAAACGACGGAAGGAGGGTTCACCTCCAGGCGGAAGCCCAGCCGCCAGCAGACCAGCCCCAGTGCACCACGACGGGGTAGATGAAGCCCAGCAGGCACATGGCGTAGACCACGTAGGCACCGAAGGTCACGCGCTCCACCACCGCCCCGGAGACGACTGTTGTGCGTGGTACGGCACATCGAGCACAGCAGGACCAAACAAGCGATTTAATTGCCGCGGTTGTCCATACCGTGGCTGATTAATATGGATGCTGTTTGCCTTTCAGTGATGGCATTGCTGACACTAACAAGCACGCACACAACTGCATTGAGACTTGATCTATTTTCATTGGTCAGCCGGTAAGCGCGGTCGACGATGCACATGTGCGTAGAAAACGTCCACCGGTACCTCTGAGCTTCTGCATTGACGGTAAACTATTGTCATACCGCAACCAACATCCAAAAAACATCATAATTCCTCTCTCTCTCTCTCTCTCTCTCTCTCTCTCTCTCTCTCTCTCTCTCTCTCTCTCTCTCTCTCTCTCTCTCTCTCTCTCTCTCTCTCTCTCTCTCTCTCTCTCTCTCACTCGTGGCGGTGGTCGCGGCGAAGGCCCACTGGAACAACCACCCCGCCCAGTTGATACCCACGTCGTCCCCGCTGCCCCTGAAGGCACCGGTGGTGAGGAGGAAGCCGTCGGTGCCGATGAAGCCGTTGTTGCCGGACGTTTCGTACGAGTCCGATCCCAGCGCGATCCCATACCCGGTGGTATACCACATGACTATGTAGTGAAAATACCGCAACGGACGCAAGCCATGGTTGTCATTATCGTGGCGTATCCCATGGCATGTCGCGGATGTTTTTTGAAACAGGCCGTCACGTATGTAGTATCAGCTTACCGAACTTCCACTGATGTGAGGGACAGCACATACTTACTTTATGAGAAAACACATCTACATATCTATCTCCCATCGGTCATCGTCGCTCGCACTCTCTCATTATCGTTTGGCCGTACTCGTCCTTGCCGAGGAACAGTGATCTGAACAATGAATCAAGATTGACTGCATTCTACATCAGGACATCGTATGCAAGAGGCAGGCCGTGTGGCAAATCGAATCAATCGAACCTTTTGTGAGCGACGACAAAGCAAACAAGAGAAAAAACATAAATGGTGGCCTGCAACGCTTCACATCAAATTTCGTGAAACTCCCGCGCCGCGGCCGAGATGACCGCAACAGCAGCAGCAAGCGTACAAGCATGAAAGGCTGGCTGGCGTTAACCTTAACCTTGACTCACTTCCTCCTAGGCTGGCGTCGAAGACGTTCTTGATGAGGATGTTCTTGGCGTTCTTCGCCTGGACAGCCCCCACCTACGAAAAAACAAAAAAACGACCAAAACGTTGGAGGTGAAACGTCTCACGCCGTCCGAGCCACCGCCGTAGACTGCCGAAGGCGACGGGCAGGGGACAGTGTTGCTGTGCGCTGCAATAGCGTAGGACCCCAGACCCGTGCCATCGTGCTAAATACTCGATGATACAGGACGTGCTGCGCGAATGGTCGAACAAGGCAAGAACGTGTTTCTCTCGTGTGTACTCATCGTGTCGTGTGGGATCTAAACGGCACGTTTGTTTTTCTCTCTCTTGTTTTGCGAATGCGTTAGAGGCGGGGTCAAACAGCCACGGGAAGCAATCTGGCATTTGTTTTTATGTACTGGGACAGAGGGTTTGGAGGTAATCATCCGATCTCAGGGTTCTCTATCGTTTAGGGACAGAGGGGTACATTCGCTGTGGGCAGCTCGGATTATTCGGACATACATATCCTCAATCATGCGTAATAGTGGAGACGACCACCACACCACTTTAATTTCGCTGCGCTGAAGTCCGCGGCGCGATTTTCGTTGTTTGCGGACAAGCAAGAGAGATGAGGGGTTGGGGGCATCCAGCAATTACGTGCACATGTCGCGATTTTCGCCACCGCCCATCCACCCGTGAACGGATTTGGTGCCGTTGAGCACGACCGTGCGGGCGAAGAAGCGGGCGGACACGTATAAGCTTGATCTTCACCCGATGCCACACGCATGACAGCCACAGCTAAGCGATATGCCCGAGAGCAACGTCAATGACTTGTGCTAACTGGGTCGACGGGGCCACGCCAGCGCGTACAGGTTTCGCTCACCTCAAGCATGGCGAATCCCGTTTGCATAACTGGAGACCGCCGATAAGGCGAACCGCGAACAAGCCGAGATAGACCGTTTGAGTAGGCGCAACCGACGAAGGGAGAGCAAAACAAATCAGAAAAAAAGGCCGAGACGGACAGACAGGTACATAGTAGGCAGACAAATGGCAACGTAACGCCGAGCGAAAATTCATTCTCGACACCAGACGTCCACGGCATGGTTTGCCGCGCACATGAGACGAGGGAAACGACGGGCCGCGAACGGAGATACGCCGGCATATCGGGGTCATTCGGATGCGCGTCAACTAAACTCCCTGGCGGGTTCCCACACCGCGCCCACACACACAGAGAGACAGGTCGAACGGGTCTACATAAGATAAATCAACCGAGCTGCCGACGGGGCGATCCCCGCGACGAAATCCTCAAACAAACAACGACGACAACGTGTGGTTGGGTTAGGATTGGAACACGGACCCCCGTAAACGTAGTAAGCTCTTCCCTCGTTCAATCAGGCTCAAGAGATCTTGAGGTCAATGATACTCACAGAACACCAGGACGGCACCAAACCTGTGGCGTTGTCCGCAAGGAAGAGCACGGAAGCGAGAACACGGCGAGCACGCCGCGGCATCGGGAGAGAGGACCGGACGCGCGGTCAGAGCAGTCAGAACAAACAGCGGGAGAGCCTGTATTGATTGTTCGAAGGCGCTGTCTTTGAACGATGCTTTGTGCAACATTCGTTTTGGTTAAACAGGCGTGCGTCGTATGGTTGATGTAACGCGCTGCGAATCACATTCGAAAAGAGGTTCAGAGAGCAGTACTAGACGGATTTAGTGAGTTAGTGCATTGTTTCAATCGTGGCATACTGTTGGTTTTGCGTCGTTGGTTCTTTGGAACGATTTTCGTACCATATTATTCTAAAACGACGAGCTACAAGGCATGCACCTCCCATAGACTATACCTCAACACGAGCAAGGCAGAAAATGCGTTGGAGGTTTTCGGAAGAAAATATACATTCCATAAGAGGGGCGGGCGCGCGGGGGGGGGGGGGGGGGGGGGACCCCAAAACTCGGCAGGGGGAAACCCCCAAACCTTTTACCCCCGGGGGGGGGGGAAGGGGGGGGGGGAAAAGGGAAAAACCAAAGGGAACCCTTTTTTTTTGTTAAAAAATTAAACCCAAAGCAGGGGCACCCGCCAATATGGGTTTTTTAAAAAGAAATTTTTTTAGGGCGGGCTTGTTTCTCCCCCTTTTCAGCCCCGGGCCGCCCCCCCCGGGGGCCCCGGTTTTGGTGTTTTAAAAAGTTTGGGGGTTTTAAAT